AGGGAAGACATGCCTGTAGCTTTATCTACAGTGTCATCAATAATTAACACACATGAAGTATTATTAGGAACGGCTTTAGGTAACATACGTGATCAGTATGGTATAGCACATCAAGTTCGCATCCTTATTGATTCAGTGTCACAAATAAGCGCTATGACAGCAGCATGTGCCAAGCGGTTAGGTCTGCATGTGGCTAAGTGGACAGCTCCTGTTAATGGATTGGCTGGAGTATCGGTTCCACAAGTACAAGGTATTTTGAAGTGTGATGTCACTCCTAGGCACTCAGATGATCCATCTATTCCAGTGCAAGCCTTGATTTTACCATCTATTACCTGTGATATTCCTAGATGTCCCATACCTGTTGACATAAAGAAACGTGTTGAACATCTTGCCTTAGCTGATCCAACTTTTGATGTTAGTTCCAGTATAGATGTTTTATTAGGTGCTGATGTGTATCCGCTTGTCTTGGATGGTAAGCAAGTATCTTTGGGCAGTTTTTTACCTGCAGCTTTTAGTTCCATTTTTGGATGGGTGATAATTGGATCTGTTGGTGTAGCAAGTAATTTGAATGCACCGCAAGTTTGTGTGGCTTCTTTGTCAGTGTCATTGGAAGAATTGGTCTCTCGATTTTGGGAGGTTGAAGAACCTGAAACCTGTGGTCCTCCTGTGACTGAAGACGATAACTGTGAGGCCATTATTCAGAAAAATATGAACATTGACGATTGTGGGCGTTATTGTGTTCCTTTGCCTTTTCGTCATTCTAATTCCAAGTCTCTGTTGAAAGGTTCTCGCAAAATGGCATTGAAACGTTTTGAAAATTTAGAGAAACGTTTGTGTTCAAATGAAACGTTAGCTGAAGCTTATCGGTCCTTTATGCGTGAGTATGAATCGCTTGGTCACATGCATGAGACTTCTAAAGTTGGTGACTACTATATACCACATCACGCGGTTGTCAAACCCGGACTGGACGGTCAGGATATAAGGCTAAGAGTTGTTTTTGATGCGTCAGCACGTGCACCAAGTGGATATTCACTTAATGATTGCTTATTTCCAGGTCCTAAGTTACAATCTGATATTGTCAATGTGTTGGCTCTATTCCGAACCTATAAGTATGTGTTTTCATCCGATATCTGTAAAATGTATCGTCAGATTAATGTGTTGCCTGAGCATCAAAGTTTCCAACATATCCTGTGGCGTGATTCACCAGAATGTGATCTTAAAGAATTTGAATTATCAACAGTAACTTATGGTGTGACAAGTGCCCCTTATTTGGCCATTCGTGTGCTCCACGAAGTTGCCAATAAGGCTATTGAATTTCCTGCTGTTCAGCTTGCTCTCCGTGCTCATACATATGTTGATGACATATGCTCTGGAGCGGATAGTTTAGAAGAGGTACTCAACCTGCAGCGAGATCTCACCGCGGTTTTGGGTCAAGTTGGGTTTGAGTTGAAGAAATGGGCGACTAATTGTTCAGTTTTAAGTAACCAGATTCCTAAAGAAGATAGAACTCTCGGAGCCACCGAGTTTGCAGAAGAGGTTCCTGGACTGTTGAATATCCTTGGAATGGTATGGAATCCGGTAAAAGATGAATTTTCTTATATTACCAAACTGTCTGAAAATATCATGACAAAACGTGGAGTGCTTTCGTCAGTCGCTCGACTATTTGACCCGTTGGGTTTTCTCGCCCCCAGTATTTTGTTGGCGAAATCAATTATGCAGCTGTTGTGGAAGGAGAAATGTGGCTGGGACGATGCTTTACCAGCGGAGATTCAACGTCAATGGTTATCCTTTGTCAGTCAATTACCGTCTTTTTCAGATGTCAAAATTCCTCGTTCAATTATTGCACCACCTAATGCCCGTGTCCAACTACTTGGTTTTAGTGATGCGTCATTGAAAGGTTATGCGGCTCTTGCCTACCTACGTGTGGTGGACGATGATAGTATTGTGCATGTATATTTTCTTGGAGGTAAGACGAAATTAGCTCCTATAAAGTCTATGTCAGTCCCACGGCTTGAGTTATGTGCAGCTGCATTATTGGCTCGTTGGCTGGCTAGATGGAAGACAATTTTGAGTGATCGGTTTGTAATCAAGGAAATATTTGCTTGGACTGATTCTACTATAGTTCTCTCTTGGTTAACAACGCCTCAAGTTAAATTTAAAATTTTTGTCACAAACCGAATTGGACAAGTCCGGTCCTTAGTACCTGAATGTATTTGGTTATATGTGCCGACTCAGATGAACCCAGCAGATTGTGCATCCCGTGGAATGTTGCCCTCTGAGTTAGTATTTTGTTCTTTGTATTGGCAGGGTCCCGAGTTTTTAAGATGTCCGTCAGCTCAATGGGAATGTACTTTTCCTTGTATTAATGTTGCAGAATTACCAGAAGTAGTTCAGAGTACCACTGTGGTGTTAGTTGCACAATCAGAAGAGGAGTGGTTAGTTCAGTGGTCATCTTATACTCAATCTATTCGTAGGATGGCTTGGATTTTGCGATTTTACAAACGTTTCAATGGTCATCATTATTCATCGGCGATCTTGAGTCAAAAGGAATTAGAAGAGGCACTCATGGCATTGGTTAAAGTTTCTCAAAGATACTATTTTGCTCAGTTAATCCAAGAATTGCACAATCAATTGTCAATCATAAACCGTTATTTATCTAAATTAGCACCTTTTTTAGACGAGTCTGGAGTTATACGAGTTGGAGGTCGTATAAGACATGCTAA